CAGAATTCCCCAGCCAGCCTTGCTGGCTAGGGAATTCTGGGACTTGAAGTCCACACATCTTAAAGTCGCCAAGGGTGAGAAACACTGAGTTAAAAAAAAAGTCAGTTGGATTCACACAACACACCAAGTCCCAGAAACCTAAGCAAGAGCAAGTTGATCAGGTTGTCCAAATGCATTTTCCAGGCCTTTATTTGACCTGGTTGAACGTGTTGTGTGAACATAGCCAGTGAAGAACCAAGGGTAGCCAAAATGAAGGTGATCCAGAAGCTACATCTAATTCAATTTACATTTCATTAAAATCCAAGGACAGCTGAGGTGAACTCTGAAATCTTACCTGGCTTCCCACTAACCCGTTGCAGCTAGTGTTCGGTGATATACTGCCCCTGTGACTGGAGGATCCATTATTCCATATTCTCCCTTTCTCCCCAAATAGGCGTGCAAAGTTGGAGTGGAGAAAGGTGCCAGTGGAGAAAGTTCAAGGGTCCAGTCCATATTGACCGGAGGTCCCGTTTCTCCAGGGGTGGCTCTGCCCCTTTTCTTATGTACCCCTTGGGACATGCCCCAGCTTGCAGGCCAAGCGGGCAGAAATTCTTCCACCCCTGTTGTGTGGGGCTCAAGTGAGAGGGAAGGACGTTTCTCTTGGTCACGACTGCCTAGCCTGAGCCCCTGAGAAGTTTGCGTTTTTGGACCCTCCTCTGTCTGTGCAGAAGTCCTTCCCTCACCCGTTCAGCCTAGAAATGGGTTCGAAACGGAGGGGTTTGAGAAAGTTTGGTCGCTGGGCTTTTAGCCCCGGGGCCTCCTTGGTGCAGCAAAGCTGGGTTCAGGTGTGAATACGGGCGGGGAGGTCCGGGGCAGCCTTTGCAGGAAGCCAGGGCCTTCTCTGTGTCAGATGAGCTCAGAAGTGGGGAGATTTGCCAGGGTATATAATTAATATCAATACGGTGTGTCTCGTTTTGCTGGAGACTGCTGGTGCCGTGAATTAATTCAGAATGCATAGCTGCAGGGGGGTGGTTTGGTAAGAAGCAGCTGGGCACAAACTTCTCCAAACTTCACAATTCTCCAAAGGCAAAGGAGCTGGGATAACAATGGCAGGGGTTGCCCCCCAAAAGGGCCCGATAAGGGGTCCCTGACCAAGAGAATTTGGGAAGTTGTAAATACAGGGACGGTGCAAATTAGCAG